AAGAATATGATGATGCTATAAAATACAGTACAAAATGCCTTGCCATCGCACAAGAATCTGGTGATAAAGTGGTTGAGATGAATGCGTACAAGTCGTTAGGGGACGCCCATTTGAACAAAGAGGAATTTGATAATGCTATAAAATACAGTACAAAATGTCTTGCCATCGCACAGGAATCTGGTGATAAAGTGCATGAGATGAATGCGTACATGATATTAGGGCTTGCCCATTTGAACAAAAAAGAATATGATGATGCTATATCATACAGTACAAAACGTCTTACCATCGCAAAAGAATCTGGTCATAAAGTGGCTGAGATGAATGCTTACTTGATGTTAGGAAATGCTCACTTGAAGAAAGAAGAATATGATGATGCTCACCGTTTCTTTACAGAAGGCATGACTATAGCTAGACAACTAGAGGACAACCGTAACGTCTCCTATTTTGCAATACGTCTAAATGGGATTTATGAAATGGTTGGCACGTCTGAAAGATATAGTGGATTATTATCAGTAGTGTCATTCCTGAAAGAGTTTCCAGATGATGTTCCGRAWATCGARCGTTTTGCCAATTCGTTWKWTCGCTACGTGTATYATAAWGMAAACAAWGAATACRAGGAAGCTATTTCATGTCTTGAGACTTGTATGGCGCTCGGAGAGAACAGTACCAATAAAGATGATTATCTTGAACTATTATGGAATTGTAAGCATGACATCTCAGAGTTGCATGTGTTACTTGGAGACTACGATAAGGGTATACAGTATCAACAAGAAGCACTTGATGATGCACGCAAAGAGGGCTCAAATTCCAAACAGGCAAAGTCCCATTTGAGCCTAGGAGAAGTCTATTATAACCTTAAACAGTTTGGGAATGCAGAGAAGTCATTGAAAGATTCGTTAAGGTGCTATGAATTGATATTTGTTGGTCTTAAGCAAAACGATCGTTTCAAAATAGCTTTCGTTGATAAATACAAAGAGACTTTCAAGCTGCTTCTGAAGGTTCTTATTGAAACAAATAAGAAAGAAGAAGCTCTGCTATTGTCTGACCACTATCGTGCAAAAGCCCTGAAAGATCTCCTTGTTTCAAGCTACGGAATGAAGAAAGAACAAACTGCTGATGAGGGTTTACAGTACGTCGATGTCCAGTCTCTTGTCTCCAGCAGTAACTACACTCTTCTGTTTTATTCAACGTGTTTTGAAGATTTGTACACTTTTGTAGTAGAGGCAGGAAAAGAGCTTGGATTTTCAGTCCAGCATATTGCATACTGTGACTCATGCCTAGACAAGCTGGTTGATAAAACATTTGACGATATGAAAGTACGTCAAGTAATCCACTGTGAGGACAGATCATTAGACAACATGCACTACTCTGAAGAAAACAAGAATCCAAAAGATGATGAATTAACGCAGGTGTTGATTCAACAGAGAGAAAAGAGATTATCAGAACAATGCCGTTCTATTTGTGAATGCAGAGGAAACCCATCAGAAAACTGCGATAAGAGCAGCCTGACCAATGGCCTGGAAATATTGTACAACAAATTAATAAACAATATCAAGTGTTTAATTAAACAAGACGAAATGGTCATTATTCCTGAAGGTCCCTTGTGCAGATTACCATTTGCTGCCCTACGGGACCCAGACACGGGACAGTATTTGTCTGAAAGAATGCGGATTAGAATGGCTCCTTCAATGGCATCTTTAAAGTTCCTCCAAGAATACCCAGTGGAGCATCACTCCAGAAAAGAAGCACTGATCATTGGCGCTGCCGTCCTTGGTCCGGTAATGTTGGATGGAGTTGAAACTAAAATTCCGTTCTTAGATGGCATAATAGAAGAGGCAGATGAAATAGCTACCATGCTTGGAGTTCGGCCGTTATTGTCAGCTCTCGCTACGAAACCCGTTGTCATAAAGAGACTACGAGAAGGAGCGTCTGTTGTTCACATTGCTGCGCACGGTAGCCTGGAAAAGGCCACCATCGTACTTGCTCCTTCTCCTGAGATAAGAACAACAAGAATCCCAGATGAAGAAGATTACATGCTGACCATGGCTGATGTACAGCAGACTCAAGTACGTGCACAGTTAGTTGTGTTAAGCTGCTGTCACAGTGGGCGTGGTAAGATTAAAGCTGAAGGTGTAGTTGGCATGTGTCGCGCCTTTCTCGCGTCAGGTGCTCGTGCTGTGGTGGGTTCCCTGTGGGCCATCGATGACGATGCTACTTTGATGTTCATGAAAACGTTTTACAAGTATCTGAAGGACGGCAAGAGCGCAAGTACAAGCCTACATCTGACGATGAACGACATGAGAAAAACGCCACAATACAGTGAACCAAAGTATTGGGCTCCTTTCTTTTTGATGGGAGATGATGTAACGATCCAGTTCAAAGATTAGCACAGTAAAGATGAGATTAAAACATTTGTGGAGGAAATTTTCCTTTGGACATTATTTCCATAAACAGTGAGTAAAATATAACAATTATCAAGTTTAAAGATTCAAAGGATTAACAGTATGTATTCACTTTAGTGCAAAACCTGTTTTAGTTGGGAGGAGCGTAGATCAAGAACACGGAAGCGAGGTCAGAGAGGCAAAGAGAATATAATGTTCAAGATTCTTACATTCTTACACGTATTATTTTCTTAGTTTCCGCGGTTATCATCATGTCAGTACCTCACAGCTAAAAGGGTTTTGCTACTGTATATATGAAATATTTAGACCTATACGTATACATATCACCTAGTCTAGCACACCGACCGAGTTAACTCTATTGATAGGTACCTTCATGTAACCAATATTGAATGACATGTGACTGTGAAGGTGTGAGGTGTGAGTTGTAGAGTACCTGAACTAGCTCATGGTATGTTGGGGGAAATCTTAACTATTAATAAGAAAAGTTGGTTCATTGAACTAATCTAATTTAGTCTCAAGCCCTATTCTTCCATCTAAAAACGTCAATGTTTTTTCTGTACATAGATACAACTATATTATTGATTCTTTCCGTTCGTTGAAACGATTTATTAGCATGGCAAAATCGTTTTTGGATTGTGGTCCAGCTTGGGTGCACAAATCTTTAACTCACCTTGCATTACAATGAGGTACTCGTACCCAAGCCAGACAAGAATGATTCTGTTTAGACTTCAGGAGAAAATAACTTTTCAATAACTTCATTTGTAGCTGAGTAACTTTCAGTTGACCCTCCAAAGTTCAAAGGAAGACTGGTATCGAACTAGTCGTGCATAGTATTTTGGGAATAAATGTGGGGGCGAAAACGTCCGGCATCTTACGTCCCCCATTTAGCCCCATAATCCTTTTCACTTTAAGAGGGTTACAAGTCTTTCTTCAAATTTCAGAAAAGTGAGGTCAACTGACCGTATAACTCGTAGAATAAAACACAAACAAGTTTTTTTCTTTAGATATAGAGGGGTTTTACGACAGCCATGTTGTAGGGTAGGAACAATACAATGTCTTTATCTGACAAGAGATTTCATTTCCCAAAGAAGAACATTCTTATTGCTGTTCGTTACAACATATGTTTGCCGTTAAGCCCCTCTGTTGGTTTTATTTCAAAACAAAAATATACAAAAATATAATATACACACTTTATATTCGTTAGGTTTTACAAGCCAATGCTTCGTATATAAAAAATTGTAGAAAGAATAAATAGTGATAAAAATAATTGCGTTGAGCGTATCAAGGCTTTGAGTTTGTTTTTGTTATTTTGACTTTATTATTAAACTAGTCAGTTATTGAATTACCTTGAAGCGTTAGTTTGGTTCTTCATTTTATCTATTATTAAATATTTAACAAAAATATATTAGATTGTCGTCCTTTGTGTTCCACCAAGACAAACTCCTTCAACACCACATCGATGTCATGTGACTTGTAAACAGCACAGGAAGCCCAAGTATCGTATTTGTGCCAGTGATAATGACTCTAATGTCGTTATAAATGACAGTAGCGAAGACCAAGACACATTAACAGTCTATTCAAAACAGCTTCATAGATAAGGTCTTGCTGATCTACTTCAGCAAATACTGTAATATAATGGCACTCGCAATGTTTGGGCTTCCTGTATGTACTGTTGATGTCATTTAACGGCCCGTCATATTCATTGTTCTCTCTGGTGAGCGGTTCTCTGGTGAGTAGATATCTGGTGATGGGGACGATATGAACGAGTCCCGCGGGTCGCTCTGATGCAGTCGGGTTAACGCGCTCATCAAGACTTGTGAATCTATTGGACCCTTGATCTGAGTGCTGCTGAATGGACTAGTCGACTGCAGGTAAGACACCAAAAGATCATAATCAAAGACATTGTAAACATTATAAAGGTTGAACCTCGAGAAAGAAATTTTGTATCTTGTTTATGCATGCATTCCTTCCTTTCTTTCTTCCTTCCCTCATCCCCCCCCCTCCCCTCTCTCTCTCTCCCTCCTTCCTTCCTTTCTTCCATCCTTTCCATTCTCCCTCTCTTCCTTCCTTCCTTCCTTCCTTCCTTCCCTGCCTCCCTCCCTCCCTCTCTTTCTTCTTTCTTTCCTTTCCTCCCTTGTTCTTTGGCAATTCCTTTTGTTTTCCTTCACTATTCATTCATTCATTTTAGGGGATCTGTATTTTTCGTACTTCACTGTACAGCTGTACACAGTATTTCTACATATCTTACCCTTGTTTTGGTCAGTTCTCTACTCAAACTAATTTTATCTTTAGTCAACTCGTTCACTTTGTTCTGTARCTCGTCATTTTCTTTGTTCAACATGGCCAARCGAGCTTCGCTTTCACGGCTTGTGCGCTGGTACTCGCGGATAACCTCTTCACTGTCCATTAAACTAAAAGAACAATCAAAATAACAGCTTGAGTATGTGAGACACAAAACTAGTACGGCATTTCGTGACTAAGTCTTTATGTAAATATTAGAGTGTGTGACGAAATGTTCATGTAACCAGATAGTAGTTTTGTAACCAGAGATATAGAGAGGGATATATTCTTACACACATGTACTGAGCATAGATCTCAAAGAAAGAAGCAGTAAATATAAGTTCCAGCAAAAACGTGYCAACTATTGGTTCGAACGGGATCAAAAGTACCGTGTGTAACATTTTGGCGACCCTGCCAGGACCGCTAATCGAGGAATTTCTCGTAAAAAGGCGGTTCTCGAGACCTGGAAGACGATTGACCTCGTGGTCGAAGAAGTTGATGTTGTGTTGGACGCACATGGATACGAAATTAGCGTTCCTTTGAATGCTTTCATCGCAAATAAGTCAAGCATTCCCTTCGTATGGTATTGAAGACTTGGTGTACGTGACCTGAGAGGCATTAATGCCCGTTTGAACGCCAGAAAACTTTAGAGAACGTGGTTTTGCATGTAGTTAACATATTGTTTGAGATGGAGTACCGCTAAAACTGAATAGATATTTATTATTAATCCTATTTTAGACAATGTCCCTACGATCATCAATGCCCTTCGCTCTTGGAATGCACTATTCAGTATGCACTATTCAGCATTCAGTATTCAACCTTTTTAAAAATAGCCAGAGCACAGGCAAGAAGAAACGCAGGCTCTGGGTACGAGATTGGTCTATAAGACACACGCCTTGAGCATGCGCACTATCGTTTCACCTGTTAATGACGTCATGTTTTTTGTCGACGCAGTAGGGGACGGGAAACACCCTCCAAAATCAAAGTCGACGCGAACACCAAGATATGAAGATGTAAGAAGCTTTRGCTGTCGTTTGGTCAACATTTGTTTTGTCTTTTATTAGCTAGTGACAACTCAAGGTAAGTTTGGGAAAGCTCACAGATATATTTATTAGTTCCTGCTTAGTTTTGAGCTTTCGAGAAAGTTTGCGTTTGAGAATACTTGAACTGAAACATCCTTACGAAGGAATTAAGGTTGACGAAATATGTAAGTTCTGGATAATATTTATTTGGTTTCTGGGTTCATTGTGTTTTTTTGTCATTTGTCATTTGTCATTTTTCATTTGTCATTTCTTTTTACTCTCAAATACGAGTAAAAAGTTTATCAAATTGAGCTGATCCTCCCAGTGTATATTCAAGTAACTTCAACATGCAGCTGCAAATGCAGTAAACTAAAGTTGTAGCAGTAAAAAGTTAGTAGTGAGAAAGAGGGTAAARACTTGTGTAGYTTCTCAGGAACGTTACTATTAACAAACARCATTTAATTTATTGGAAAGTTTAGGTTAAAGTAGAAAAGAATGATGCGAAAAAAGTTGRAAAAAGTTTTTATTGATTCCGACTGACATGGAGTGCAATGACGCCAAAGTTTGTTTATATCATCGAGTACCACCAGTATAACTTCCCTTTAACTTCAGTGTTAGATAACCAGCTAGAAATAGTTCCGCTTAGGCTTTGATATTATAGACAAATTCTAATTTCTGGAGAAAAATACGAATGAATTAAAARCATATATATTTACATTCTACAAGATCCACGCGTTGGGCATGCGCAGTATCGTTTCACCTGTTAATGACGTCATGTTTTTTGTCGACGCAGTAGGGGACGGGGAACACCCTCCAAAATCAAAGTCGAAGCGAACACCAAGATATGAAGATGTAAGAAGCTTTAGCTGTCGTTTGGTCAACATTTGTTTTGTCTTTTATTAGCTAGTGACAACTCAAGGTAAGTTTGGGAAAACTCACAGATATATTTATTAGTTCCTGCTTAGTTTTGAGCGTTCGAGAAAGTTTGCGTTTAAGGAATCAAGGTTGACGAAATATGTAAGTTCTGGATAATATTTATTGGGTTTCTGGGTTCATTGTGTTGTAACTGTGCGAATATTTTACTCTTATACGAGTAAAAAGTTTATCAAATTGAGCTGATCATCGCAGTATATCAAGTACCTTGAATGTGCAGCTGCAAATGCAGTAAACTGAAGTTGTAGCAGTAAAAAGTTAGTAGTGAGAAAGAGGGTAAAGACTTGTTTAGCTTCTCAGGAATGTTACTATTAACAAACAACATTTAATTTGTTGGAAAGTTTAGCTTAAATTAGAAAAGAATATGTTATTTCTGGTGATGCGAAAAAAAGTTGAAAACGTTTTTATTGCTTCCGACTGACATGAAKTGAAAGGACGCCAAATTTTGTTTATATCAACGAGTACCATCAAGATAATTTCCCTTAATTTTGCTTTTAGATAACCAGAAATAACAAAACATGTAAAATAACCTCTATTGATAATATTAGTTCTTAGGCTTTGATATTAGAGAAATTCTAATTTCTGGAGAAAATATGAATGAATTAAAAACATATATTTAGCCTGCTATAAGACACAGATTGAGCATGCGCAAATCGTTTCAACTGTTTATTGCGTATTGTTTTTGCGACGCACCATGGAAACGGGGAACCCCCTTCAAAATGGAAAAAAGCGAAAATATCATGAGAAGCTTTAGCTCTCCTTTGGTCAACATTTCTTTTGTCTTTTATTAGCTAGTGACAACTCAAGGTAAGTTATTATATTTCTTATAATTCCTGCTTATTTAGTTCGAAAAAGCTTGCTATTTGTAATATTTGAACTGAGTCATCCTTGCAAAGAGAATCACGTTCTGGATAATATGTATTAGGTTTTTGGGTTCATTGTGTGGTAAACGCGCATCTCTGAGGAAAAGATACTCCGGCCTATATTGCTCAGTCCCTCCGCGACCATTCAAATTTTGTACTCAAGGCCAGCTTCAGATATTAAACACATACAAAAAGCAGATTGAATATGTCAGCCACATTTTCAAAAAGAATATTAAACTTCGATTCAACCTGAATTATTATCGCTTATTTTATACATAATTGTTTGCGTCTATCAAGATAACCGTCTGCTGCCATTATCAGTCTTCTTAGGTCATTTGCTTACGATGGTAACACGAAGTTACTTTCTTGGATTTAGCTCTCGTAAGCTTCTCGAAGTTCTATGAATCAAAACCATATTTATATTACGAATAATAATTTGAAATAATGCTGTTGAATGTGGGACGATATCTAGGAATCTATGTTAGAGCATGCCCGCTGACGATCTCAGTATTTTTGAATGTATTTATATCAAAAGAATCAAGGAAATAGGCAAGAAGAAGAAACGCAGGCTCTGTGTACGAGATTGCTCTATAAGACACRCCTTGAGCATGYGCACTATCGTTTCACTKGTTAATGACGTATTGTTTTTGGGAACGGGGAACCCCCTTCAAAATGAAAGTCCAAGCGTAGACCAAGACCATGAAGTGTAAGAAGCTTTGGCTGTCGTTTGGTCAACGTTCTTTTTGTTTTTTATTAGCTAAAGAAAGAAAGACGGTTGAAGCACTTCGAGATCGCGGATCCGGATGGCGTCAGCACTATGCTCCGTTCACAGATAAAGCAAAAGTTTTGACCAATCAGCGCCCGCTTRCCATAAACTATATAATAGATATATATCATTATCGATCTTTGTGTGAATTTTGATTGACTTTCGATTTCTAACGCTTTGCTGGTCTTGCAAGCGTTGCATCAGTGCGATATGACAATAAGTAATACATCAAGCGCGAAAAGAAGTGTCATCCGATTTCCAAACACCGTGTGTTGAAAAAAACGAGGTGTAGCCCAATTTTTTTAACCAACTTCGAGGTGTTTATATAAAGGATAAAACACTCTTTCAAGTACTTGATAAATTACTTTCTCAAAATATTATACAATTCTTGGATAAATTCAAAGCATAAGTTGCCCAAAATCACTAAGATCACCTATGAAAGAGCCGGACATGTTCAAAATCACTATCCCTATAATATGCGSCTATTTTTCTTTCTTTCTAGATTCTTTTAGACGTTTGAGTCTGGATTTTGAAGAGGATCCCCTTTGTCTTCGGTACGACATGATGTTACCGTTGGTGAAGGATGAGTAAGACAATCAAAACCAATCGTTTGACCTTGCAGTAAACCAAACAACTAAGCAGACCAAATATCCAATTTCAGTCCATATTAGAAGGTAGTCCAAATGTGACGTACAGACGCAACTACAGCTTCGCGACCAAAGTTTATTTTTCGCAATTAAAGATACAACCATAACCCATGACTCAAACTTGATGGAATAACTACAAGCTTTGAATGACATTGCCGGCTCATTGAGGATATATATTCAAGGCAGTACTTGCTATTTACAGCTCTGTGGTAACCGTTGATGTATTCAAACTAAGGCAAGCTGCTGAACTGCAAAACAGGATAAACGATGAGTGACCCCGCGAGTAGAGACAGCAATATTAGGGAGAGAAAAAGAGTACTAGCATGGTTTACGGCAGCTTCTGCAACGTACTTGGAACTTGGACTGCCTGCAGAACAACTTATCTGTCTGTACAGAGAATGCTTAGCAGTAGCCAAGGAACACAATGATTCAAAACTATTTCAATATGGTATTTCTGCTTTAAATACGCTAGATGACGACGACAACATCACATTTTATTTCACGAAGAAAACATGAGCGGAATGTGAAAATGACATGACCGTGCACATAATGTCAGGGAATGCCCACTTGAAGAAAGAAGATTATGATGATGCTATATCATACAGTACAAAATGCCTTGCCATCGCACAAGAATCTGGTGATGAAGTGGCTGAGATGAATGCGTACAGGATGTTAGGAAATGCCCATTTGAACA